ACCGCCAGCCACTGCACGTGTTTGGCCGGCCCGAGCAACAGGTCCACCTCTGCTCGCCCGCCTGGCTGCTTCCTCCCGCCTCGGACCTGCGGGAGCGAGGCCGAAGCAGGCGCTCCCGCGAGGCTCCAGCCGCCGCTGCCCCCCGGCCAGAGATAAGCACCCACCTTCCTTGGGGGAAGCTCGGCTTCCTCAAAGAAGAACGACTGCTCCTGGAAACGCCTGTGTTTGCTGGGGTGACTGGTTTTGTTTTGGGAGTTTGGAGCGGACGATCCGTCACAGGGAGCAGCAGGGAGTAAATCCACTGGTAGAAAACCCTTCAGATTTGCCTTCCCTATAGTCTCCCAGATCCTACTGATAATATTTCTCTCCCCTCTCCCCCTGCCTAAATGTTTTACCTCCAGGGGGACTGCATCCAAACTGCTGTAACAAAGAGAGACTGAACAGCCACTTAAGAGTTAACACGTTCCTTCCCAGCTGCCTAATGGAGCAAGTCTGCACCAGTCAAACCAGTACACAAAAGGATGAGGCCAGCGTCTGAGAAGGCACAAGTTTCTTCCATCCTTTTCCTCCTCCTCAATTCTTTCAAGAGACTTTCCTCCATCCCCTGGGCACCTGACCCTCAATTTGCACTTTCCTCTCCGTAAAGGAAAACTTGCTCGATTCACACCTTTTTCAGACATTCGGGCACAAAGCAAGGAGTTCTCAGGCTGTTTATTATGTCCTCACAGTTTCTATACAGTAAAGGTAAATAATACTTCACAACGCAGTGACACAACTAAGTGGGAATATCATCGGTGGTCAGACATCTGATACGGCAGAGGTGACTCAAGCAAACGAGCAGGTAATGCAGAGGGAACGTCAAACTGCACCCAAGCCCATGCTTTCACCTGAACGGGAAGGAATCAGACCGAACAAGCTGCTCCTGCTATTGATCTAACAAAATCAGTAGCACCCCGATGCTGCGGAGACACTGACAGCATAAGGACCTAATTAAAACAGAAACACGGCATGGGGAAGATCTTAAAAAGAGTTGGTCTTTCTGTCCAGATACCTGGTGGCTCAGTTCTGAATTAGCTCCACACACTGAAGCCCTCCTAAATCCCTTCTGAGCCACCCACAATCCTGTGTCCCAGGGAACAAAGACATCTTAAACCATACCTTATTCAGGACTGGTGCTTGGCTATTGATTCAGGTCCTCAAAGCCTCCTCCTCCCAGTGGGATACCTTCATCCCACGGAGGATAGAGGTGCCAGACAGCTTAAAGAAAATTCTGAAGTCTATGTGCCTGATGCTTTGCTTGCACAGGAAGAGGAAGAGAGGTTATAGGAAGATGAAATACTTTAATCATGGTTTTTAAGGAAGGGGGATCCACCCCCTAGGGAGGACTCATTACCCGCTCTTTTCATTATCCGTAATCCCACAGAGGCCAGTTCTCTTGCATAAGCAAACACAACATGAAACGCATCCTTCCCTCTTCCCTTTTTAGCTGGTGACTGCATGCGCTGGCAGAGCAAGGCAAAGATGTTTCTCTTAGGGTAACACTGCTGTCTCTGCGCTACACCACAAATGCAAAGTCAAGCAGCTCCTCCTCTGTCCTGTTTTAGACTCTGCCTTGGGGATACAGCACACGGATGAAAGATGGTGGTGTATCTACAGATGTAGCAACTAGTCCTGGCCAGTCTGAGGGTAATTCCCCCTTGTTAGCTCAGGATAACAAGTAAATCACCCCAGGAGCAGCAGGGAGGTACTGGTGTCCAGCGCCAACCTGAATACACGCTGGCTAGATGGAGCTCCACACTGGGAGGTATGGGGCCACCAGACAAGTGATTCCCACCCTGGCTGAGATCCCCGGCCAGCCCTGGTATGCCGAGTCCCTCCAGCAGCACGCTCTGCCTTTTCTTTTGTACCTTTTTGCAAAGAAGGTTCTGTTTTGGGGGGGTAAATAAACCCATCTCCTTTTGCCACCTCCCTCTCATGCACACACTTCCCCGAGACCCCGTTGAGTTTCCTGCACACAGTCTCAAATTAGAGACACAGCCCTCCAGTAAAACCACGAGGAGGCACAGAGCAAAATGACTTACTTTACTAAGCAAATGTAACACACACACACACATGCACGCACCTTTATTTACACTCTATTTTTTTAATCGGAAAGCTAAAAGGAAGCACAGCTGTGACCCTGTCAAAGCAGCTACTGAGTCTGCACCTAAGAATAGAACCCGTGAAACGGAGCACAGCTCCCGTCTCACTCAGCCAGACCCTGCCAGCAAGCAAAGCACGTGGAGCACCAGCGGCGGGGGAAGAGACACAGTGCTGGGGACAAGCCAAGCCTCTGCAAAGGCCAAGGGGTGTGCAGCAGGAGAAAAGCGTTCTGGACTGGCAGCAAAATATACTTTAATTCCAGTTCTAGGATATAATGTTTCAATGCCAGAGAAAGCACAGTACCAAGAAACAAGACAACTGCAGCAGCCGCAGGAATGAAAGCTAATACAGAAATTGTGTGAAGCGTTTTCTTCTTATGTAATGGGCAAGGGATAGCTACTAAGAGCTTTATAGCAACAGTAGGAGGTACGTAGGAGAGCGATGGAGAGACCAGAAATAAGTGCCTGGGGTGGTAAAAAGAAACGAGGAGACAAAGGATACATGAGGAGAGCGGGCATGCAGACAGGGAAGCATGGGAGGTCAGGATGTGAGGCCAGGGCTGATACACAGGGAGGACAAGCAGCGCTGGCAGAGAGAAAGGTTTGGCACGGTCAGGAGTGCTTCAAGGAGGGGAGGATAAGGAAGAGGAGGGGAGCGCACAGGGACAGGACCAGGAACGAGAGAGGGGTCTAGAAGGAGAAGCGAGAGGCCAAAGGGAGGGGAGAGTTTGCACTGACAAGTGAGAGGCACTCCAGGACTGGCATGAGGTATGCTTTCCTATTGCTCTGAATGCTGTAAACATTTTGGGTTTGTGTCTATCAGCGAACATTCAGTTCAGTTTGATACATGTGCTCTTAGGGGTAACTGGAAGCCTAGCAGAGTTTTACATCTCTTATTACTAGTCAAACTTATACACAATGCAAAGACAATACTAGCTAATATCTCATTTTATGCCACTTACGCATAATTCTCCTAGCCTAACATGCACATCTACATCCCAGAAAGGCTTCTGTAGTGGGAGACACTAAATAGCACGTACATGAACTCACACGCACTCTCTCTCTCTCACACACACACACCCCTATTTCCCTCCCATGCTCAGACTAGCAGGACTTTGCCCTTCACACTTTCTCAGCATGGAGAGCAGGGACCCATCAGTACATTAACAGGTACAATAAAAGTGACGAGAATAATCCCAAGTGTGACTGACAGGGCAAAGCAGGAATAAGAAATTCAAAGCAGTTTCAGGTTCTGCATCTGCTTCTGGACTTCACAAGTTCTGAAGTTCATAGAACAAGAAAACGCAACTGTAAACCCTTCTTCCCTTTTGCTGTCAAAGGACTTGAGAGCCGACTGGGTACATGTCAGCATACACACAGGATAGAAAGAGCTAAGTGAAATGATTTTTCTCTCTTCTTGTGATAGCACTCTGACATTACTTCAAACGGGCAAATTTTTGGAGGTATGCGCTCGTGGAGGGAGGAAATGGGGCTTGTAAGTTATGAATATCCCTTTCACATCAGTAAGAGATGAATCAAAGATAGGATATTTGTCCTCGATGAGGATTAGTCATCCCTCAGTGCTTTCCGAAGTTTGGCTCACTCATTATTTCCTTAACCAGCCCCTGGTTTAAGGGGAAGAGATAGAAGTTGCCTATTTTAATACCCGTCAGACTGATATTTGGCATAAAAGAAGCAGCTGGTGCCAATTTCTTGTTTTAAAATAAAATACTTTAAATAACTAGGCGGCTTTCCTGCTAGAGAGACAAAATTTAAAAGCAGCAACAATAACAACTGCGATAGACTCATATCCCTCAGACAATAAGTTTCACTCTATTGTATGTTCTAGGATGTTTCTTATAGAGGATATTATCTGGCATCAATACAAGGGGCAAAACACTTATCCTGCATCAGCCTGCATGAATATAGCTCCTGTTGCAATTGCAGCAATATTGTCTCTGAATGTGCCTACTCAAGGCAGTATCCCAGACCAATGTAGGAAAGAAGGGATTTAGTTTTTACACAGTGTGGGCTACTGTGGAGTTTTTTTGATGAATTCTGACCAAAATTGAAAGAATGCCAGCACTGATTCTGGAGATGCCTGCTGAGACATGTTATCTACTGCATTTTCTGGAGTCACGCTTTGAACAGGATCAACCTTTCTCGCCATCAGGTAAACCTCGGAACCGTCCTCTCTTCTGAATTTCTTGACCTCATTCCTACACAAAAACATCTTTTTTTGCTGTTTCTTCACCGCCTGGTTGTCTCTGTGACCCTCACAGCAACGTTGTCCAATGGGTGACTGTAGGGCACTTTGCTGAAAAGCCTCATCTGGGATGCGTCACTTGGCAATAGAGGTAGGCATCATCCAAACCCATTCAGATGGTGTTTTGGTGAGTTTAAGAGAAATACAAGGCAATACGCAAGGCAGTTAACATGACCCTCTTCCCTCTCTTTAAAAAATGACGACAGTGTAAGCCTGCTGGTGCCTTCTCTCACATCCATAGCAGTAGCAGGGGAATATTTTCTTGCGTGTGCAGTGCAGAGGAGCCCAAAATGGATGAGAAGAGGGCCAGACAAGGTGGCCTCACTTCACCCCTTGCAACACAGCCTGTTTCACACCACAGCACTGGGAAGCAGAGCTGCCACATTGCAGCAGCTGGATCACTGGACAAAGTGCCATTTTGCAGGCACAGCAGCACTGCACCTAAGTCCGGCACCTAAGGCCATCTTAAGGGAAACTACTGCAGCCAAATCAACCTGTATCCCTCCGAGTCCCCTTTCTCTCTCCCAGTCTGGCCTGCCTAACGCAGGTCTAGTGGATGCAGTGTTTCCTGGAAAGGGGAGCTCTTCTAGCCCCTCCTCACAGTCTGTGGCTTTGCATCCTCCCTTATAGGGCACGTAATAAGTGTTTCAGCGCAATGTGGGGTAATTTGCCCTCCTCCTTCCCTTTCACCTACAGCAGGAGGGGGCTCTATAGGTGATGTGAGACTGTTCCATGTGGTGTAGCACAGATACCACCAGGGACAGTCACTGGATACATGATTCTATCATTTGCTTCTGTCTTTGACTCCTTCCAGGGCATTGCACAAGTTTCCCCAGACAACTGTCCCCTTACGCTTTGTTTGCTAGGTGCTTTGTTTGCCATAAAGCTATGGACCCATGAACAACTAACCTCATGGCCAGTTGAGCCATTTAGTGAACAGATGATGCAGCCCCCTTGGATGAATCACGGCAAAATCTCTGGCACTTTCAAGCGACCGTCTTTCACTGTAAACCTTGCTCATTCCTCCACTTTCAAATGGGAAGCAAAGAAGTTTGCAAGCAGTCGTGCCACTGAAATGTGCACGGTAAAGTCCAGGCTTTGACTTTTGCCTCTCTGGACACATTCCCATGGCTCTGTAGACCCCACGTACCTCAGCAGTCTCAGAAGTCAGAAGGGTTGCACCACTGAGCCTGAGCATGGCTGCAGGCCACATCTCTCACCACCCTGGGCTCTGGCCCTTGTTTCTCAGGTTACCTTTCAGGGATAGAAGACACCCAGGAACACCAGCTCACGGACTACAGAGCACGCTGCTCTTTCTGACCAGTCCTCAGTGAAACTTGAGATGATCTTTGTCTACAAAATAACTGGAGAATTCTAGAGCCAACCAGCCAGGTACTGAAAAGCAGGTTTCCCTTCTGAACATAAATTTGGCTTCTGCACCATATTCAGGCTCCAGTGTCTTAAGAGACCACAGGAACACTTCTCCAGACTAAAACAAACGTGCTCGCCATCCTATCATGATGTCCTAATTTCCTGCACAGCATCCTTACAATAGGCAACCTTTTTCCTAACTAATGCGTGGACCATAACTTGTAATATCCAAGCAGGCTTTTTGTATTTTGTTCCAAATATGTTATGCTTAGCTTTAGAATTCAGTCTACCCAGTTTATACCATCTTACATTGGAACTTTATCATCAGCTTTCTAGTGAACCAAGCCCACCATTCTAAACCAGCACAGTGGTTTACAGCCTGTGATCCGTAGAAGATTGAGAAGAGAGAAGGAAAAGATCCATGGGATCATTTTCCAGGCCTTCATAAAACTAAGAAAGTAGAGCTCTGGTCTGTAGGCTTAAATTCCCGTATAGGCTATCTGCTTCTCCTCTAGGAAATATGGCAAGAATCTGGCAGCTGATAAGCTGGAAAAGCAATGCCATAGAAATTGGACCTTCAAATAATAAGTATTATTGCACAGCACAGAGGTGCTGCTACACAACTGACATCTGCACAGTCTTCTCCTGCAGCCAGGTTATCCAGACTATGGGAACTGGGACAACATATGCTTTGCATACCACTTCATGCCTGGACTCCCATCCTGCCCACTACGTGCTTCCCTGTGTCCTGTTTTGAAGCAAGCATCATGCAGCAGGGTCTTTGCCTTTAGTATTTCTTTACGTGGTATTGAATACACAGTGGGCAATCGGTAGGTAACAACAACAGTCAATAATCAGTAAATAACAAAAATATAATCGTGATTTTCCTGTTACCTCTTCCTGCCATGTGCTGGTCAGGTACTATATGAAAAATGGTATCTGATGTAGCAGACAGGTCTTGTGCTCTTCTTACATCTCAGCACAGGACAGATAGGACATTCCTTCTCTTGACTCTTTCCTGAGAGCTGGCAGTTTCTTCCCGAGAAGCCACTGAGCCTGGTAATGTCTTTGGTGGCCAGGAGCCTCTTTGTGTTAGGTTTTGGTACAGTGCCTAGCACAACGAAACTTGGACCAGGAGTGGGGTCCTGAGGCTGAACTACAGTACAAATAAATAACATTAATGAAGAATAATCATTTGTACCAGACTTGCCGGACTAGGTCTAGCAAGAGCTTTTGCAACTACCTTCTCATGAGAAAAACTCAGCTCCTTGACAGTCTTACAAACGTAACATTTAGTCTCCATCCCCGGAAGATAAGCATGTCAGAGGTGCGGAGGGGCTGTGAGGGTAGCGGCTCGTGTCATAAGGTATGCAATCAAAATGGAAAGGTGAGCTGATGGCCTCCACCTGGGAAGCAGTATGAATTATCTGCCTTTGCCTTCTCTTTGCCTCCTTTCTCTCCCTCCTCTCCACCCACGATCCAGACCCCAGAGCAGCCAGGGTGAGCGACAGCACTTCAGATTGCACTTGACCACACAAGTTTCAGAACTGCCGTTAAGGCCCCTCCAGACATAGGGGATAGGTGAGAGCCAGGGACCTGTCTGGAAGGATGGAGGGGTAGAGTGGCGTTATTTACACATAAACCAATGTAGTAATCTTTACGGAAACCTGCCTTCCCAAAACATGACCCAGTGACTACAGAGGTTATGCTTTTGGGCCAGAGAGAGGCAACAACTGCAAGGTGCTACCGCTAACCAAAAAAGCACAGAAACTCAAACAAAGAGTCCTTATACTGCATTTGGATCACAGTCTGGAAACCCACTTCTCCGCTCCTCCCCCTCTTCTTATTCCCACTGCCTTTAACACCAATGAAGTTTCACATTTAGACATGGGTTTTTGCTGCTGTGGGAAGCACATGGTTTCTGAGGGCCCCATCACTGCTCTAGCTGAGCCTCCTCTGGGTTTGAGACAGCAGGTCTGTGTAAATTTTGGATCTCAGGAACCTGGGGTAAGAGTCTTTCTCCATCAAGCTGTGCACCTTCCCCTGAGCTTGATCAAAGCAAGAGAGGGAGGGCTCCTGCATATTTCTTCTGGTCAACTCCCGTGTCTGGAAGTCTATGTTCACCTGGGGAAAGTAGCAGAAGAGAGCGTGGTACTGAGTCACTGGCTTGTCTGCTTAAAACAGCATGTTTCAACTCAGCCATGGCCGCAAAAGCAACAGAAAAACCAAATGCCTATCCCCATCCATGCGTAAAACACTGCCCCAAACTCTGTGGCTCTCAGTGATCCACAGTTATAAATCCCAGCCCAAATTTGAAAAAGTTGAACTAGATTTATACTGGTCTGAACACTCCTGAAATCAAGTTATTTTTATCCAGGTTCTTAGCAGGGATTTATGTAGCAAATCTTCTAGAAACGCTAACTCTGCCATAACATACCTTTCTCCTGTTGACCAAGATTCCTCTGTTGCTTTTTCCTTCAATACATGCCCAATTTAAGGGTGAATGAACTTTTAGCTGTGTTTAAACTGTAAGTAAATTCTTATCAAATGTTTTTCAACTATGTTGGTATAAAATAAATCGTTTGATTTTTCCCATAACAGCTTCATGTTACAATAACTTACGCAGAGACACTAAAAAATAAACAACTCTCCTGTTATGACTGCAATTTGTTTGCAAAGAAAACAGCATGAATTTTCCTGTTTTCTTT